TGTATAGCTGTAACTTTATCTCCATTGAATAACAACTCCTTGTTCCCCACCCCAACCCCTTGGCAATCACCATTCTATCTTCTGCTTCCATAAGCCTGACTATTTTAGATAGTTCTCTTGTAAAGCATTCTTCGTGCATACACGCATGCTTGCGCGCACACACACACACAAGCAAAGGGATGAGAGAACATTTTTGGAAGTAGTGAGTCTATTTATTATCTTAGTTGTGGTGATGACATCAAGGGTATATGCATATGGCCACACTCATGAAACTGCATACATTAAATAAGTGAAGGTTTTCTTCGTATATCGATTATACCTCAATAAAACTGTAAAAAAAAATTAATAAAAAATAAAAAGATCCCCAAAATAAAAAATAAAAGTTTGAAGATCTTCTGTTTTTTTAACTTTGTATCTGTTCTAAATAATAACACATCTGTATACATAAATAAGAAAAATAATTATTCAGTTGTCAAAAAATCTCATAGAGTGAAAAACTCATAGGTTAAAAAAATACATGAATCATGGGAAACTTCTCTGATAAACAAAAGCAAGAAATTTTAAGGATGTGCTTTGCCAATAAAGGGAGAGATAAATTATGGCTTAAATTGAAAAATATCCAGATGGTGGGAATTTGGCATGCTATTATTCTTTGAAAGTACGTTCCTAGTTAGGGAATTGAACTGACTTGCTTAATTCATTAATTAAAACATACTAATTGATAAAAATGAGGACATGGTTTCTATTTTGTAGAAGCTACAATATTAAATAATTAGCCTCAATTTATCATTCTCCTCCACTTCACACCTTCCCTTGTGGGGTGTATGGTTATGTGGGCTTAAGGACTGAAACATATGCAATATCTCTTAGAACAAGTCTAATAAAAAAAGGGGGTGAGCACAGAGGGCAGGCAGCAAAAACACATGGGTTTGCAGTACCAAACAAAAAGAAGACTTAAGCACAAGGACAAATGATGACCAAATAAGGCAAATACGTCAAACACAAGCCTCCGAATAATACTATCTACAGATAAATCATTTGTTTGGATGATTATAAGAGGAATTTGATAAATGGAAAGTGTTTATAACACTAAAAGGAAAATAAATCAAGAAGAGCTAACTGATTATTTAAATTGTCAGTATTGGTGGATAAAGGGAACCCTTGTTATGCTCCTGGTGGGAAAGTATGCTGGTATAATTTTTCTACAGAATATGAGTTGTTAGGAAGTTTTTTTTATTAAAAAGCTTTAACATATTTTTATTTACTTAGATCTATGCATTCCAGATCTAAGATTAATATTAAGAATATGTATAAATTTTCATCTATAAGAATGTAAATTATGATATTTAGAACTTGACTAAAAGACAAATTAGATGTCTAATATAAGAGAATTAATTAATTATTTCGTTACAACCACATTATAAAATGCTATGCAGCCATAGCAATGATTTTGCATGAGGATATATGTAACAAGAAAATATACTCATTACATATTGTTCAACAAACTGGTATTAATAAAGTACCTGTAAATTATCTAAAACAATAGCTCTGGAGACAGAGGGCGTGTAGTAAAAGTTTATATTAAAACTTGCACATCTGGCACTTACTATGTAAAATGACGAACTGTTCAAATTTCCACGTTTTTGTTTTTTTTTTTTTGTAAAAAGAATAATTGTATTTCTTCCTACTTCATTGTATTTGGGGGATATTAAAAAAGACCATACATTCAATGTTCTCAGCATTTTACCTATTGAATAAGTGTATATAACACGCTGTTGATAGAACAACATAAATATATAATTTGTAAAATATGTACGTTTATATTTATTTTGATTTATATATTGATACTGATAACATATACAGATAGCTATAATCTCAACAGATTTTTGACTATTTCTTCAGGTTGAAGTGGATTTTTGTTATGTTTGTTTGTTTTGGTTTAACTGTGTTCCCTAAATTTTGTAAGTGGAAGAGAGTAGCAATCAGGAGTTCTGCTGCAATACCAAACAACTCTAATATCTTAACTGCTTGAAACGACAAAAGTTTATTTCTCACTCATTATAAATCCTTTGTGGTGTCAGCAGAGATTTCTGCTAATCATCCTCATTCAGAAACCCAGGCCAGGGGTAAAAAGAGATGGCAAACTTTTCACTGCCTCTTAAGCTTCTGCTCTGAAGTGATAAACATCACATTTGCTCACAAATTTTGGTCACAGCCAGACACACAAACAAGAGAACCTCAATAATAATTTAAAAATGTATTTGTAAGTCAAGAAGAGTTTAAAACTAATGTGTATGTTGTCTATCATAAGCTATTTTAAGTTGTTGAGCAGAACACTGGTCTAAGAATAAAATTGTCCAAATAAAGGAATCAGAGAACAAATAGAAAATGCAAGAGATCATCTATATTATTCCTCTATCTTCAAGATATAATGATCACACTTAGCAATCACCAGCAAAAGGAAGTAATCTAATTTCATTTCCGGTGGAAAAATGCCTTCTCCTGACCCCTGAGGTAGACTATACTAAGGAACTTCAGTACATTCTACCAAGAGAATGTATTTTTTTTCTCGGCCTTAGCTGGTAAGCTGCTGAGGCTCTCTGGCTTGAGAACCGATGGGCCTTGTAATTGCTTTCCTCACGCATGTAACCACAGCTGCAATTGTTATCCATAAATTGCAAAACTAATCCTTTAAAAGTTTTTAGACTGGCTATTTACTTTGAAACATCCATTGCTAATGAGTTTTCAGATGTAGCACTACGAGAAAGGAAGGGTCTCTGATCATTGGTTCAAGCATTGGACTGGCTCTCATAAATCTTTAGTCTTCATTTTCAAAATTTATATTTTGTTATGGTTCCCGGGGAAATCACTTCAACAATACCTCTATTTCCCTGCAGGGAAACTAGAGAAGCTTTTATTACTTATCTGTAAAGTACTTCAAAAGGATTAAATGAATTATAAAAACTAAAAATATTATCATTATATTTAAATATTCAACACCTTTTTAACAAAATAAACTTTAAATATACTCTATTGCTTTAAAATGGTGGCTGAATACATTAGTGAATCTCTAGAAAGGTAAGAGAAAAATATGTTTGTCAGAATTTATTAAAAATTGATATATAAAGTCCACAATAATCTTACACTACCACTATATTAAAAACTTTAGAGACAAATGAAAAACCACTGGTAAATACATATATTTAGAGTAATTTTCTATGTCTTGTATGCTTTTATTTTTCCATTATATAATTTGTTATTTTAACAATGAATGAATGAGTGAATAAAAAATAGTAGTTTGAGGGATACTAATTTTTAATCTTTATTACTTTAAAAGCATGTTAGGTTTACTCAAGCACTATGATGACAATATTGTATTAATGCAGGTAGAACAGCCTTTCCTGTCTGAGTTATTGGTGAAAGATGGGGCAAGTCAAAAATGCTTGTGAAATAAAAAATCCTTCTACCCATATTGTATCCTCCTTATAATCATTAGGAATAAATATCAAAGTATAAAAAATAAGTATGGTACAAATAATCTTGGAGACTTTGGGAGATTTCAACATAAAAAAAAACTATAACTAATCAAAAAAAGATGACGAAAAATAATAATAAGAATGTGAGGAAATTTAAACCTTTATACAAAGCTAGTGGGAATGTAAAATGGTGTAGCCACTTTAAAGACAGTTTCACAGTACCTCAAAAAGTTAAACATAGAATTACCCAAGAAATTCCACTTATGGGTATAAACCCAAGAGAATTAAAACACAAATCCACACGAATACTTATATAAGAATGTTTACAGAACATGACTCATGATGGCCAAAAATAGAAACAACCCCAATTCCATTAAGAGATGAATGAATAAATAAATGTGGTATATCCATACACATGAATATTATCCAGCCATAAAAAAAATGAAATATATGCTACAACATGGATATACCTTGAAAACATTATGCTAAGTGAAAAAAGCGGGAAACAAAAAGGACAGATATTTTATGATTCCATTTACATGGGATATTCAGATTAAGTAAACCCATAGAAACAGGAAGTAGATTAATGGTTTCTTGGGGTTGATGGGAGAGGAAAATGGGGTGTGACTGGTAAGGGGTACAGGTATTCTTTTTGTGATGATGAAAATGTTCTGGAATAAGATAGTGGTGATAGATGCATAATTCTGTTAATGTACTAAAAACCACTGAGTTATTCACTTTAAAAGAGTGTATTTTATGGTATTTAAATATCTCAATAAAAAATTCATTTAAAAAAAAGAAAATGGCAACATAAAATTAAATTGCTGATCTAATAATCAGATAAAGGAAGTCTTTCTTCTTTTCCTCTCTCATGAATAAAATTTATAATAACTTCAATTACCAGTTCCTCTGAAAGCATATTTCATATTAACTTCTCCATTTTCATGTTAGAGGTGAAATTGTATTTTGTATTTTGATAAATCAAAAAGAATGGAACCAGCTTTCCTCTAGATGAAGTCTTCCTTCTCTAATTTGTACTGATCTTGTATCAAGAGCACACCTGAGAGCACATGCCTTCTAAAACAACACCTATTTAGAGCTATTTGTTTATACCATGCTTTATTCAAAAGCCAACACTCTCCTCCATCAATGTTATTGAGTTTCAGAACTGTCAACAGACAATTATAAGGTCTCATTCAGAAAGTTCTGAGCAAATATCTCATTTTCTTTCTTTATAATGTACCATTGAACAGAACTAAACTAAACTGAACTGAAACTGAACAGAGCTCAGAGCTAAAGAAGACTGATAAAACTGTGTGTGTGTGTGTGTGTGTGTGTGTGACAGAGAGGAGGAAAAGAAAGAGATTCTATTTCTCCATGTACTATCACTCATGAAATTTGGCTGTTTTTTTGTTTTAGAAAGACTAATTTCTCATTCAGGGATCTTAGCTGTCTTAAATAAGATATATGTGGATTGAATTCATTTCACTCACAATATTAAGAGGCCTAAGAGCTCTCACTTACCCCTTCCAGAGCAAGGCAGATCAGAACTTCCTTGGCACTTCTTGATGCTCTCATCAGCTGACAGTGGACAGGAATGTGGGTGCTCACACTTTTTCCCATACCAGCCTACTTTGCAGTCACATCTTCCACAATTACACTGCCCATGACCTTTACAATGAAAGCAGTAAAAAAATATATACGTATATATGAAAAAATATATAATTAAGTCAGAATTTGTTTTCATTTTAACAGTGAATGTCCCAAATGAGTCAGAATCTTGATTAACATAATATAAAACATTAAGGCAAAAGCTTGTTTTTCTCAAGTTCTTAAATATCTAATTTATGTTAATTAATCATGAGAGGTAAAGAAAAGCAACAAGTCCAGATAAGATAAACAGATTTGTAGGGTTATAAACTTGAGTTTCTCAAAATCCAGGTGTATGTGATTTTATTTGTCTGCTGGGGCCTACATGGAGTATTTGATGGAGCTGGCAATTAATTCATGTGGAGAAGAGCACAGGAAATGGAAAACTATTTGTTTTCGAAAATGGTCTTATCTTCTGGAGTCATTTAGAGTAAGGCTGGTCAAATGATGACCTCTTCGAGGTTTAGTTTCTCCATGTTTAAAAAGGATAATAATGAATTATCTATCCAAATTTATCAGGAAGTACATAATATGTCTTCAATGCTACATAAACTTGAGCCATTATTATTTTTATTCATTTGAGCCCATATATGAAAGCAAGTAGGAATAGAAAGGAAAGCAAGATAACATCAACTGAGCTTTTTCTAACTCCTAGGAAACTTTCAGATACTCATTGCTACAGATGCAGAAGAATTTTAAAGGAAGTCAAATTACTCTGTCTTTAAGTAAATCAAGTATAATGCTAATGGATGAAAACCCACGCTATTTTGTCTTTGGCATCTGATATTGATATATATCACACAATTTGAAAATTGGCCTTCAGTGAACAGTAGTCGACTTTATCAATACTACATGAGGTTTGTGGGTAGATGACTATCTTTTAAGTTTGAACAATTGGACTATCCACATCTCAGGAACCTTTTTACCATCCATTAACCTGGTTCTTTGTTAAACAAATCATAAAATCATAGATCAAAATAGGATAAGATATTAAGGATAATTGAATCCAAATCTCTCTATTAACACTAAATGAAATTCAATCTGCATTTATTGAGTACCTACTATATAACAGTCTAAACAATAAATTGCTGTCATCATTAATGTTCTGCTTAGAACTCATCATTTTTAAGGAAAGGAAAATTGTGATTGCTAATAAATATGTATTGCGTGTGAAAATGATCATTTAGAACTTCAAATATGAGAATATTTATTATAACAATTTAACTTATTAGCAATTAGATTTCAGAGGTTGTGGGTTCTGTGGCTTTTTGTCATTTATCCCAGCTTAAGAAATTCCTGCCCTTCTTCTCAACCCTCATGTAATTTAGAGTAAACTTTGCAAACAGAGCTGTAGAGCTGTATGGATAGATAAGCAATAGTTTTTAAAACAAAATCTTTAACATTAAAAATACAATTGATTCTGCTGTTTTATGGGAGCCAATGGCTTTGAACTTGAAATGAAAAGTTTCATTTTAAGAACATTTAGATCTTCCAGGAGGATATCAGGCAAAGAACAGAATGTGCTGCCATTTGTGGAAGACCAGTTGACACTTTAACAATAAAACTGAACAAGATTGTTAAGTCAAAAGGAGAAAAACGCTTTACTCTTGAAAGTTTAAAATAACTGTAAACGTTAGAACAAAATATCCAATAGGTTTAGGATTCCAGGAAATCCCAAGCTACCTAGAGGATGCCAACTGCTGCTGCAGTTGCCTGGAACTCAGGCAGCAACGCATGCCCAGCATGAGAGTCCCAATTCCTAAGCATATAGAATGAAGCAGGAGCCTGTGCTGGGGTACACCAGTGACTGAGGGGGAGAACATTCTCAAGTTCTATAGTTGGAATACAGGTTTAAGAAGTTATTATTTATTATCTGAGCATCATCTACATGTCAATATTGAAAAAATTGTGGTAGAATAAAACAAATTCATCAAGATGATGAGAAGTTATTAATAGGAGATTTTTGGGAGTTAAAATTTCATCCAATTAATATCGAAAGAAATCAGATTAATTGTGGATACATTAACAAATTTTAATTTAGCTGCTTTAGAAAATGTAGCTGCTTTAGAAAAAAATAGCTTTATGCTATTATTGCAGCTTCATTTTTCTATCCCTTTGCTATTTCTGTGCCCTTCTATAAACACTAGGGGAGAACATAGTCTATATCCAAAACCTCTATTTCCTGTGCACTTATGCAGCATCATGGACCTTCTCAAGGATGGCTCCTATAAATTTATGTTTTACACCCAGGCATTGCGAACTCTAAGAAACGGTGGGAGGTATATACATAATATGTCCTCACTTTTGCCGTGTGTGATGATTCCTAACTTTCTGTGCCTTCTGCCTCAGCCTCAGTCTTCACCTAATCAAAATGCCCTCTCAATAACCCAGCTGCAGTCAAGCGCTTACAGATTGGAATTAATTGATGAGATAATGTCATTGCTGTGATTGGCTGTGGGATGAAAGGTTTTGCCTCTAAATAGAAAAGTATCAAAGTAGGAGAATATTGTCTAGTTCAGAATGGTCACTGCTCCTCCTCAAATCATCTGCTTAGGAGTCCTACACTTTGCCATCAGGGGTCGACATCAACTGAACAAGTTCAAGCTGAAGAAAGAAGGGTAATTAAAATATGAGTGACCTAATGAATAAAATTCACTCATAATGAATAAAATTCCTAAGAGTCAGTGAATACATGGTAACCAGTTTAATGATGAAATAGTGGCAGGTAGGATGGTTTTTGAAGGTTTCATTGTTTTGAGAAAGTAAGAATATCTAAATCAAATGTTGCAATGCAAATCATAGAAGCAAATATGAAAACAACAGAGAAAAGATTTAAATAATTCTAGTCTAATATTATGAAAAATGGTATTGACATTGGTATTGCCTAATCTGTTTATTAGTTCATTGACAAGTTAAAATATAAAAATGTTTTGCTTTCACAGTAATGAAAAATTACATCCTACATCTTTCAATAATCAAAGTCATATGTTGTCAAAATAAATTTTAGAATGTTATGATTCTCACTTCAAATGAAATTTAAACCTAAATGATATGTAATTGGCGTATTTAAGTAATTACTTAGAAATGTAAGATATTGATACCACATTCTGAAGTAGGTATTGAACATTTCAGAGAATATAGGAAATCGGAAAATAAAACTGCAACTTTTCTTCTGAAGTTACCAGTCTCTCAATTCTAATATAAAAGTTACATCAAAGAGAGAGAGAAGGAATCATTTTATAAGGATAAAATGGAAAAGATGAATATGTGTGATTTCGATATATGAAGAAGAGTTAGAAAAGATGAGATTGATTTAGCATGAAAATCCTTTAGACTGCCATAACATACTACATCAGTGTCTTTTATAAACAAATAATAAAAAAGGCATAACAAAGGAAATTAGGAGACCTGTGTCTTCGATCTAAATGTGTCAGTAGTTACCCTTTCTGAGCCTCATCTCACTTGGCTCTATCTTTAAGTGAGAGAACCAGAAGAGAGTAATTTTACCACCCTGATCTGAAGCTATGCTTCCATGCTAGTTTGTCAAATCTGTGTGTGTGTGTGTGTATATATACACATGTATATATATATAAAGTCTTACAGGAGTTAATTTCATTGCTTCTAATAAGTATTCCTTTAAACTCTATAGGCAGAGGATCAACAAAATAGAGATGAAAGATATAGAATGTTATCATTTATCCTTGATATCAAAAATAAGGAGAATGTACCTTAGAGAATTGTTTTCAAAAGATCTATGAGCATACATTAAACACACACACATGACAATGAAAAAACAAAACAAAACATGGTGCTTGGTGTTGGTATGTAAATGGGATTGCAGCCCAATCTGTACCTTATGGCCATATGGACAGGGAGTTGACAGCAAGACCAGACATCAAGTGGCATCACAGTCATGCTGGGCAGGTAGAAATTGTAAAGGCACTCAGGCCATTATAGTAGAGCAAGTTGACTCCAAAACTTATTTTTCCTTTGCAATCATTCTGCTTTGGGTTAAGCTATCTAAATTCAGAAATAACATTTGACGACAAACATAGTTTAATTCATTCCAGACACTCTTCTGCTATACAGGGTATTTCTTCCTTTTAAAATGATCAAAAATGCTTATGAATTGGAATCAGATATTTACAAGTAGCTTCTTACAAAGTAATATAAAGACAATCAATACGAAAACGTTTGGGGGAATAAATTAGATCAAACTGGTACTTGCTATATTTTTAAAAGTCCCTTCAATACATTGATTTTCCTTCAAGATAATACAAACTGAATATATTTAACAATTCCCTTCAGTTTCTTTCCTTAATGCTTTGGTAATTCACAATGGTAAATTTTCCCAACTGACATGGTTCTATCAAATGTATCCATTTTCCAAACGACTGGAACTCTAAGCCGGGACTAAGCTTATACTTTCATCCTTTTGGTTGACAGGACAAGCTGAAAGACAGAGTTTCAGGTCACACTGCAGCATAGTTTTCCAACTATGAGAATTTGAGAAATAGACCAGAGAATCAGGAAGTAAATTCAGTGGAACAGCTCACAGAACTGAAGAAACAAATAGTAGTTGGTCATGTGCTGGTCATTTAGTCACACTCAAAGATGACTGGTCATGTGCTGGTCATTTAGTCACACTCAAATTTTATCAATAGTAAAGTCTTTAAGGTGGGGTGTGTGTGTGCACGCACCTTTGTGTGTATGAGTCATACTTGTGCATGAATAAATGCATGCACACATTCACACACAACATGTGGATGATGAATAACAGATAGGAATAAAAATAAGAAATAAATAAAGCAAATTTATTTGGAAGCAAGGATTATGTTTTAAAATATTTGTATCTTGCATATCCATGATGGAAGAGGTACAAAATATATACATCTAAGTGTATCACTGAACAGATGAGTGGACAAAGTGAGAATGAATAAATAAAATGAAAATATCAATTAAAAGAGCCACCTTAAACTAATTTATACGGAGGTTTCCCTTGGATTTAAATAAGACCAACACTCTCAGGATGGCAAGAATAGGAGCTAAAAATAAAGTAGCATTTCATTTGAAGTTTATTATACTCCAGCCTTGTGTAAATCACTTCATAATGTCAAGGTAGTTGGGTTACTTCTGTCCTGTAACACTAAGGTATTAACATATGCTCAATAATCAGCTGTATGGTGCAATTTAGACTGGCAATTAGAAAAATTGTGAAGACTAATAATTTACTAAGCATATCTAGAATTCTACAGATTTAGTAAGAATGAAGAAATACGACCAAGATTGGTGCCTATCCCAGATCATAATGATGTTCAGAGAAGCTTAGTTTTATAAGAATTTTGAGCACCCAGAGGACCGTTCTTTCTTACCCAAATAAAATAAATTGAAGAATTTTATTTGTATCACTTGGAGATTAAATTACATAAGTACTTAAGCTATATGTGTTTTCAAATGACACAAAAGTAGTGTGAACTTTGTCAAGTTACTTAATTTCTTTAAACTTGTTTCTGCTGTTAAAATATAGATAATGATGTCTCCCTCTCTGAGTTAGTGTGAACATAAAATGGAATGAGGTGTGTGAATGAACTTGATAAGTGTCTAACAGAGTAGGATTCTGTTAATGTACGTTTCATCTTTCCTAAATTCTTCATTTTAAGTTGGGGAGGCAGGTTGTGGAGAACTGGCCACTTTCAGTTCACTTCTACAAACAAATAATAAAATTACAATTATAGATTTTATGTCTTACTATTCAAACTACAGCACATTACTCCATCACTTCTGCCCACCCTTACCTGTCTACACCTACAGTATGGAGACCATATTTAAAAGGTTAATTATTCTCTCCTAAACTCCTCCCATGAGAAACACCACCAACCACGCCTGATTAGCTATCTCCTTTATTTCCCAATTTAAAAATTTTTCAATTCATGTTTATCTCATAATCTTAAAATGACATTCTTAAATGGTGTTCTCTGAGTTCCAGTATAGTGTTAATTACCAGCTCTGTGCTATGACTAAATTCTCACGTCCTAACCCTTGAGACTCACATATTTAACAGGCTGGAAAAAAAAAAAAAAAAATCAGCTTTGGGTTGCCATTGGTCTTTTTTGCTAAATACATCTAGAAATGAATTTTACAACTTCCTTCTATAATTCCCATTTCAGTAAGTGGCAACAACATTTGCACCAACAACCAAATTAGAAACCTGTGACTACAGCACTCAACTGCCTGAAACCATCACTAACTCCTCATTACCTTTAGAATAGACTCAAATTTTGCAGCAAGGTAAACAGTCTTCCAGCTCTTGTTTCTCGCTCGCTTTATCCTTTGTTACTTGTACATTCTGATAATAACCAAACTTACTGTAGTCTCCAGGACAAATTGTATACCTCTACTCCCTCTGCCTGGAATATTCTTTTCATGACTCTTGATCTGCAAGCCTACCTTTCAGGGCAGAACTGTACACGTATTGTGATCCAAAAGCATCTGGCAATGCATGAGCCATACATCACCACCTCTTGTAAAAGCTTCAGCACTTAATTAAAATGTCAAAGAAGCCCATGTCCCAACATTCTCAACTCCTTCCTTTTTTCATTTTAATCTATAGCACTATGCTCATGAAAAAATAAATAGCATTGATGTACTATATATTTTATTTTTTTATTTGTTGTCATTCCAGGCCCACTGGCATATAAACTCTATGAGGAGAGAGATCTTACCTGTTGTGTTCACTGTTTTGTCCCCGATATCATGACTACATAAGTGAACAAATTTATTAATATGCAAATCTCCTACACGATAGTATATTTAAAATATTTTGTTTACATGGCAGTTTTCTTTGCTAAATAGTAAAATTCTTGACAGCAGAACCTATGATTTTAAAACTATTTTTATATCCTAATATCATATACAGTGCCTCTAGCATACTTGGATCTCAAAAAATGTTTATATTAAAATATTATATTAAATTGAAGTTTAAACAAAGATTTGTTCAGTAAAGAAAACACCTCTAAATTTCTTCAGATATGTAGACTTTATTAAAATTTGGAATCTATCTCTTAGCTGAGGGGGCTTTAGCAAGCTATGAGACTTCTCTGAGCCTCAGTATCTCCAATTGTAAAATGAGAATAAATATAATCCCTACCACGTAGACTTTTATGAAAAATAGATGAAACAATCTGGAAAGTGCTTCACACAGTGTCTGGCATATAGAAGCCTCTCACTAGTTGTTAGCTATTTTATTACCGTTGTGTCGATAACGATGATAATAAAGAATATTCATATACAATGAATAATAGAAAAATCTGAAAAGGGCACCCCCTCAAGAGAACGGTGTCCACAAAATGTGTAGGAAATCCTCCAGAACACTAATCAGAAGAGGGACACCCCCTACTGCAGGAGGAAGTGTTAGCAAAAGGCTCTCCTCAGCCAGGCCGGAGAAGCCTTTACAGTTGCATGATCATAATTAAATAAGGCAGCTCTTTATCTCCCTTTGCTAGCAAACTTTCAGGAGACCTGTGGAGTTTCTTATCTGTCTACATACACCAATGAAGCATTCAGGCTTAAGGAGATGTTTATATGCACATGTCTCTGCCTTCTGGATTATCAAACATAACCGGACTGAAAATCCACAAATCCATTTTCACTAAATGACACTTTTTAAGATAAATGACTGCATTGTTTTTCCATTGCACCATTAAAAGTCCTGACAGATCATATATTTCCCTTTGCATTTAGACGGCATGTTCCATAAAGTCAAGAAACATATTTGTCTCTTCAAATGCTGGTCCCAGTGGCCCAGTTGCAGTTCAGACGCTGGCCAATACTATCTGCTCCATAAATATTTATAAAATAAAAATTTTGAATCTACTAATTGATATGCAATTCTAGACAAAATTGCAGAATAATTTTAGGATACAAATTACATCAAAGAATTAATGCATTAAAATAGCCATGGGAATTTATTATCCTATGCTTTGTAACATTAATACAGTTTGTCATAATGGTACTTATCTTGTTCATTGTCATCAGGTCTGCTAGTTTTGCATTCTCAGAGTTGAGCATATCCAGAGCTAATGGTTCTCCTTTGTGAGGAATTAGACTAATTTTAAGAGAGTGCCTTTTCATTTCTAGTCTTGCCCAATGAGTGAACGCTTAAAGGTTTTCAAGTGACTACTAATAGAAGGGCTGTGGATAGCCAATGCTTTAGAATACACATTCAGTTCTTTGACAGTTTCTGCGAGAATCAGAAGGAATGTTGAAAATAGGAAAATGAATATTTTTATTTAAAAATAAGAATTCAGAGAGCACTCACCTGAACAGAAGTCATCAGAATATCTGTCATAGACAGCTCTGCAGTCCCTTTCATCACACTCGCAGGTGTCTCCATGAATATCTCCCCAGTCTCCAGTTGGGTCAACATCATGGCAAGAACATTCACCACACACACAAGTGCCTAGAAGGGAAAAATAATTTTAGATAGGTCTAGAGAGGAAAAAAACATAAAAGAAAGCATCTTACATTTCACTTTTTTAAAATATGTGGCTTATTTTGTATTTGGAAAATATATGTACTCAAAAAAAAAATTCTTCAATGGAAAAACACCATCTCAAGTTGATAGTAGAAATCCTTAATAAATAAAAGTTATTGTCTATGTCAATAATTATATGTATTATGGAATATGTCATTAGCACTGTGTTGGTTTGTCTCAAAGATAATACCAAAAGAATTAAAACAAAGATAAAATCCTTGCCTTCAAGGAGGTTATAATCTACTTGACAAAAATAAAGCTCATGAAAGAAAACTTAGCAAACAGTAGATGTATGAGTGCTAACATTTTCTAAACTAAGACATAAATACTGTAAGAAATACTGTAAAAGCTTGGAGAAGAGGAACTCAGTGTGGGCTGAAGTCATTAGGGAAAATGGTCTGGATATGCAGAGAGATAAGGAAATGTTCTAGGACTGATTAGAGGTAGAACAAATGAAGGGAAGGTCAAGAAAGCAGGAGAAAACAAAGAAGAGTGGGGATGGGTGTGGGGATCCTAAGGAGTCTTGCATCACTAGAGCAGAAGGTTCATGTTAAGAAGATCTAAGAATAAGGTTTCCTACATCAGATGAGTTCAAGTTATAGAGGATGTTGGAGACTAGATATTGAAATATAACCTTGGTCATCTGGAGATTTGCATAGGAGAAGTATCCAGTTGTAGATCATATTTATTTTGTGTAGATTATCAATCATCATCTTTAGGGCAACAAGCTAACAATTTGGGAAAAAGGTAAAGTTAAATCTCCTTCTTACATTTTACATTAAAGTAAAATCTAGTTATATTAAAAATGTAAGGAATAAATGAAAACTATAAATTATATAATAAATCCTCTATTTTGAAATTTCTGAAGCTGAAAGAAAATTTCCAAATTACAGAAATAAATAAATTTAGCTATATAAAAATCTAAAATTTCAGTTGGAAGCAAAACACCAAAAAAAAAAAACCTACAAAATTTAAAAAGTTAGAACAGGTAGTCATATGTGTGCAAAAGACAAAGAGATACTTTCACAAACATAAAAATTCTTAGGAATCAATGTCTATAGGACAAATATGCCTAAAGAAAAATAGACAAAGGCAAAGAATATCAATCAGAAATTTTGGAGAGCAAGCAGTAATGATGACAGATAAATATGAAAACTGTTTATCACTCAGCCTATAATTACTAAGGGTGAGGTCAGGGACCTATAAAACCACAGTGAGTTAGAATTATTCTGGATGTCAGATTAACAGCGGTGAAAAAAGATTGCTAGGATGGAGAGTCGCTGAGGGTACAGAATACAAAATGGTACAACTTTCTAGGTGGCAATTCCACAATATGTTCTTTGTAAATGTGTGTTATTATTTAGCACGTGTCCATTTTAATTAATATATCCAAAGGAAAGGAAAAGGACACAAAAGTACAGTTTAAAAATATTAAATATGGTGGCATTTGTGTTATTAAAAAACAACTATGACATAAATATCAATCAATGGAGAGTTAATGCAATGTGTAGCTTAAGCAGCCATCAAAATCAAAAATTAGGTTTTTGCTCTGTGAGCATGGAAAGGTACCTAAAATATATGATTAAATAAAAAGAAGTGAATTACAAATTAGTCTGTAGGGTATTTTTCAATTTTTGTATAAAATAAGAAGAAAATACATGCCAAGGAGCACACAGGTGATAAATTTTTAAAAATAAATAATAAAGACATTGAAAGGTCATGTACTAAAATTTAAAAGGAATTTATATCTGTATGTTAAGATTATAAATCTTTTTCCATTTTACTATGTGCATTTTTAAAGATAAATATTCATGGCTTTCATAATTGTATAAATGACATGGAGGGATGGGTCCAGCTGGAAACTGTGCATAAATCAAAGTGGGCAATAAAGAACATTTATTCTATCACCGATGAGCTGTATCCACAACATTGGTATTTTGGCCCCTGAAGATGAGCTAAAATGGAAAATTAGGCAGGTATGTGCAGAATTAGTGTCCTCTCCTACCTAGGAAGCAATGATGAGGAACAAGTTCAAGGGTAGATATAAGTGGTACCTTCTGAGAAAAAGGTCATTTCAGTGACCGTCCCTGGCATGCCTTCCCCTACCAGACATCATAATGGTGACTACTGACCCTACTGAATAAAAGCACGGAAGCAGACACATGTCCTTATATATTAAAGACAAACACAACATAAATTAGCATGATGTATAGTCAGATCTATTTTCTATAAACTAAAAAGAGAATTTTTTAAAATGATTTTTGTTTCAAGTTCAGGTCTTCTTCTTTTTTTCTCTCTGTACAGAAACGTGACATATTTCACTTTTCTGTGTCAGTTTTTAAAAGAATAAAATTAGTTGTCTGATAGGATTTTACATATCAGCATTATGTATTAAAATGCATCATTCTTTTATAGAAATAAACAAAATCTAGCTTTCTAGATTTTTATAATTTTATTAAAAGAAATATGGCCACTTATTTGCATTGTCAGGTAGGCAAAGAACAGTATAGCATGGCTCTCTTTTTTATCTACCAGTATAGCTGACAGAGAGACAAAAACAAATATTTTCAAGTATTTTTAAAAAGTATTTAAAACTATTTGATTTGATACCAAGTTAGTTAACTCATTTTAAATTATATTTGAGCAACAGTAATATATTTTAATTCATGTCAAGATCAGTCTAAATTTCATATGGCTATTTGATATATAGCTTTTATATTTATTGTGTTCAATATCCATTTTTATTATTGCATATGAAGGTGAAATGATTCTACAACAATTCTGTATTTCAACCAAACCTTCAATTTACTTATAATTAAGACAAGAGAATTTTTTTTGATTGCTCCCTAGATAATTAGATGCTCATGCTGTAGATGATTCTGTTAGTCGAGAAACATTTAACAGCAGTATCTATAAGAGTTGCCTTTTAGCTGTATTATGCTATTTCTGTATGGCCACCAAAGAAATTACAGTCCCTATGTTCACTATTTGTTCAGGGAAGCTTAAAGAATGACAGCAACTTTCTTATTTTTCTGTTTGTTACTCAATAAAAAACAAGAAAGAGAAGATTGGTGTTATGGTAAATGTTGATTTACATCAAAGTCAGAGACTATAAAAGACAACTTCCTCCCATACTGAAGGAAATACAGAAAAAAGGAGTGTTAACAATTAAGAGCTTTGTTTTCCTCCCAATTACGTAGTAATGTGTATGAATGACACACCTCTGTTACTGCAGATTTTGCCATCTGGAGATGTGCATCTTCGCTTGCTCTCCCAGGGGGTGATATCGCACTGGAATTCGCATTTATCTCCATGCCAACCAGCCTCGCAGTAACAGTTTCCACAGTAACACTTTCCATGGCCTTTACCCAAAATGAATTTTATACAGTGAGGAAAAAAGCAACTTCAAAAGCAGAATTAACTTTCTATCCCTTTGTAATCATTTTTGCCTTCTGAAGTAATATACCTGCTCCATATTCGTTGCTTAAAATAATAAAATTATGTAGATTGCCCCCCAAACATTATGGTTGTGCCTTTACTTACATAATTATACACAGAGCAAGTCAAAGTGACCTTTAACTTGTCCTAGCTGGGTAGCTGATTAAAATGAGAGAATTTTTAAAAAACAATATGAAAGACTGTGAAAACCTATTACTTTCCAATGTCAAATGTATGCATCAAGCTCAAATGTATTTAAGTATTTACTCTAAGGGCACTTCTTGAATTAGTCATTAAAATATTTCATTTGAAATCAACTGTTGAGAAACCAATGGTGCGTATTTACTTAGATGCACGTTATTAATGAGTGAACCGTTTCTTAAACCAGAGAAAATGTTTCATCTTTTCATTCAACTGTGTCCCACAAGCTGTTGTGTTCCACCATGTGGAAAAGAGGTTTTCAGCTAAATCAGTGTTGAGTACTCATTTAGACCAATAAAATATCATGGACCCTGGGTCTCACAAGGTCAAATTACCATCCTATTTGTCAAGAGAATGTAAATGATTGGTAAGGGCATTCCAACATTTTGTGTCTGGAAACATGACACCCGTTCATTTCCCACCTCTCTATAAACTGTTATCCTACTAATTTGTACTTATGTACAAGCAATCTGTAATGAATTTCACATCATCACTCTCTACATCCATACTTTCATATCTGCATCAATTCTTCTACAAATTCCCGAAAGATGACAATTATATTTACCTCAAAATCACTTCTTATGTTTTCCCTTTTTGTAGTTATGCCACCCAAATATGAATGTATCTTCTTATTCTTCTAAACAAGATGAAAATTCTGGTCATACTGGATTTTGGTTTTTAGCCTATTCTTTCCGTTTTATGGGAATTTGTGTTTTACGAGTCTCTGGCTAAAGTCTTTGTACTTCTCTCTCTCTTCTACAGCCAAAATCCCAGGGGGTCCATGAGAAACTGTGAAGCTATTTTTCTTTCTGAACACTATGGCAGTTCTGGCCAATATCAAGAGCATCAATAGGGCCTGTGAGACTCACGTAAGAAGAGGAAAATGCAACAGAACACTGGTCTCTTATGTTACTGTTGTCCATCAGATGAGATTTCCTTCAAGCAGACATCCATCAGAGAGACAAAGAGAAAGAGAAAGGCTGCAATAATGAGATGTAGAGGGACAGGAACCCACACACACGATGCCATGTTTTCTGCCTAAATGAGCTATAACTGGGAAATCCATAAAATCCTCTTCCTAACCTGAGAGACAATGATCATTTCTACAACAAATTTAACTTTAATTTGTTCACTTAAACACATATAATGGCTACCAAGCTATATGCTTATATTTATAATTATATGTTATAATTATAACATGTATACATATTATACATTTTATTTATGAACTTAAAAATATCTCTACATGTACACACACACAAAATATCACATCCCAGTGCTTTATCACAAATCTCAGAAATTTGAAGATTACACTGAAAAAAGCAAGACAATTGTGTACTCAAAGCTTTCCAAGGAGTCAGTTTTTTTAAGACTTGATTAACTTCTTAAATCAGAATTTATTTCCTCTGTAATTTCAGGAAATTTATGTAAAGTGCTATATATGTAAGGATTAGCATGACATTAACAAAGTATTATAAATCTAGATCCTTCACACCCAAATTCTTCGTCTATTTATAAAGTTCAGTGTTTGGTTAGAGTTTTACTGAAAAATCACTAAGTAGAGGTGAAAAAAAAATCATGTAAAATTACACCTGTCTGCAGGTATGGAAAATTAAGCAGATATCCTTATAACTCAAATGAAAATATTATAACAAGACATATCTGAATAATTGAGATAAAATATAAGCTTCAAGAAAATACACATTCCAGACAATAAACATCATTCTTTGTTTTGTGCAAACTGATGGAGCAAGAAAATCTCATTTTGAATTGCTTCACTGGTGGGCTGTAGAAGCACCTCTCAGTAGATTGATTTCATGTGAATGACAGGTGGAAAGATCTACAATCCCAGTCAATGTCACCCGTGGAAGATGTTTACCAGAGCACTGGTGTCTGTGGTCAGAGACTTTGCACCATGAAATTGCTTAAGCCTCAAACGAATAGAAATAATAAGTGGAAAGGTTGAAAGTTAAACATTTCTTGTTGTGTTGTTTCAAGTGAAATGTTTATATTTACACACGCGAATAGACTTTGCTTTGATAGTCTGCAACAGAACACACTGGCCCCAAGCATGTTCTCTTCCTCTTTTTTGATCTGTAATAATTGGAAATGAAATAGCAGGAGGACAAACACATAATATTTGTGGGTGGATTTATCTAATTGTTCTAATTATTTTGGACTGAGCCCTTTTGCAGAATTGTTTGAGCAGCATCTAGCTTAAGTCATTGGCTTGAAAAATTAACGTTTTAGTGTTTGTTTGTTTTATCCTCGTGGGTTGTACAGCAAGGAAACCAGAAAGAAAGAATCAAGCAGACCTAAAATAAGAGTATCCGGATGACCATAGGAATTGAAGTTACAATTTGTTTTTGTAAACAAAAAGACAGCTTGTCATATGTTATTGACACTTTCTCTATGGTTGAGTTCCTTCTTGCCCCATTTGCCCCTATCCTTCTAGGGAAAATTACTCTTCTGAAATCACTCATTCTGCATGAAAGATAGAATTCCATGCCCTGGAATCTTGTCAGAGATAAATGAAATAACTAATTGCTTATCAATATTGATGAAGCCAGACTAAAACATTTAACTAAAACTCTTCTCACTGCTCTCTATTTTCCTCTCCTGTGCCAGTCCCCGTTGCAAATTGAAACTCTGGCAACAGACTTGCCAATAGGTTAGAAGGTGCTCTTCTCATGGAGCTCCAACGCAAGGGCACGAATGCAATTTTCTACAGTGAGGAATCAAGAGCACAGCCTTCAGTGTCAGGCAGACAGGCATCTAAATTCTACTATAATTACTGGCATGATCCTAGCTAAGTTACTTAGTGAATGTGAAGTACTCATTGCAATGCTTGGCACTAGCAAGCATGCAATCACTTGTACAATGGAAAAATGATTTGGGTAATGGTACACATAGAAAAGATCATAAAAATAATATATAAGTGTGCGTGCATCAGGGTGGAGGGGGAGGGTTGGATAAATTCTAAGCTAATGATCCTATTGACCTTTGTGTCCCCAATAGGACATGAGTCTATTTAAAGGCTTATGGTTTAGAAAGGAAAAGAGAATGAAATTAAAACATTGAAAGATTGGAAGAAAGAAACAATAAAAGCAGCTAAGATGAGCAGAGAAGATGGGAATCCAACTAGGACCACTTCAGAACTATTCAGTTAGCTTATTGGCCGTATGATCTGGCTCTCCTATGGCAACAATCTAATTCTGCATTTAAAAAGTACAAGTTACTCTGAATGCCTTACTCTAATTCTCCACATGTGAAGTGTTTTCCAAATAAACATAGGTTCAGACTAAATTAGTAAATTTAGTGCAGAAATCTATAGAGATAAAAGTACAATGAAACAGGTGAAAAATTCAGTACTTTATTAACTTCTGCAAAGTTAACATACATACCTCCACATATTTCTTCTGTTTCATCATCTATGCATTCTCTATCATCACACTCACAAAATTTACCATAAACGAGTCCATTTCCATCTGAATTATCACACTTACACCTGCCACAGTGACATGTACCTAAACCATTAAAACAAAGCAAAAATAATTTGTCAAATGCATATAAATTATAATCAATGAATTTTAACCTCTTTCAAGGAGATGGAAAATTCAAATCAATTTAATATTCCAATTATGTATTTTTGTGGGTATGATGAGACAGATAACAAGACATTCTTTTTCGAGATTATTGTAGCATGGTAATTATATTTTATAGCACAGCTATTATGATTGACCTCTAATAGTTTCATGAATGTAAATTTGACCTTCCAAGTGCCAGGCTGCCTTATACGTGTCCTTCCAATCAATGTACAAATGAAAAATTTCTGATTACACTTGGGTGTGACGTGAACTAAAGCAGAAAATTTTAAGCTTTGTGAGGGAAGTAACCTTGCTTATCTTCCTCACCAGTATTTATTTAATGCTTTGCACAATATTTGAGCATGCTATTTATATAATAATTATTTGTGAAATTCATTATCAAAGGCATAAATGAAAAATTTAGATGCACCTAATAATTTCACATCCACAGCGTTAAACAGATACACATATTTTAATGACAAGGGACCAGAATGGGTTTTTCTTAGGTATAACGACCTAGGACCTCATCAAAACCTCAGGGCAGCTCAGGGTGTTAATAGACACATCGAAATCATCTGGTCTACCACATACCGCATACTCAGCCAAGTTTGAGGATTTGACTACAACACCCAAGATTGATTTTACTGACAGTAAAACATCAGCCGAATGATATTGAGAGGTACTTTTCAATTTTTAATTGATCATCACAGCAATCAACACAAATTAATTGAACTTTACCACTCACCAGATACCACCCTAGACTCGGAAATGTAATAGGAGATCAACTCAGCCAAATTCTCCTCTCAGAGTTTTATATGAGTAGAAATGTGATAAAATAAATGGAGAAGTGCAAAGTATTGCAAAAGCACATAGCAAGGGGATTTTACTAAGACCTAGAGGTTAAAGATAAAGTATCTGGAGAAGTAGCTCTTACTTAAGCTGAGAACTGAAAACCAAGGGGAAAAAAAAAAGGGGCAAGAGAAATGAGAGATGGTGAAGAGGTCTGCTTCCAGGAAGAGACAATGGTGAAAGAGGAAATAAGAGCAAAGAATCAAATACAGCTGGAGTATAGACGATAATGTGGAAAGTGTAATAAAAAGAATAAGGCAACTAAGGTGCAGTTTATGGAGGTCTTACAGTCATGTTAAAGATTTCCAACTGTAATCCAAGAATAATGAGGAGCCATAGAAATATTTTCAGCAAGGGAGTCATGTGATCAATTATGGTTTTTTACCGGATTATTCTGGTTGTCATGTGGAGGATGAACTGAAATGAGGAGAAAGTGGATATGAGGAAATGAAGAATTATATTTGTATGCAAGACAGAAGATAAAGGCTGACCAGGGCAATGGCAATAAGTTTAGAAAGAAGCAAGTACACTTGGGGATATTTTCAGGAGAAAGAATAAATAGAACTTGATGACTGATTGGATATGATTTGGTGAAGGATAGGGCGTGACCAAAGATAATACTGATATTTGACTTGAACTACTGGATATTGGAGAGGCTGTTGTGGCATACTGGAAAAGAGCATGGATTTAGGATTAAAGTAGACTTGTAGCCAAATCCAGTTTTAATCCCTGCTAGCTATACCTTTCTGAGGTCATTACTTTCATCTGTAATTCTCAAATTCCTTACCTACAAATAATATCTACTTCAGAGAGCTGCTTTGAAGACCTTGTGATAAATATATTACCTAGTCATCTTTCTAAAAACACCTCTGTGTCTTGTACATAGTAGGCTTTCAGAAAATTTTGGGTTCTTCCTTTCCTCTCATTAAGTTACCTAGTATATTAGTCATATTCCCAAATATTTTCTCCAGACTCATTTCATATTTATGGACTCAATAATATATCCTGTTTTCATACCCTCTGCATGATTCTATTACCTCAGTCACTTGCAATTTCCTACTAACTGTAAGAATTTTTTTTCTCTCACAGTCACATATAAATAGTGATTTTACAGAATTTGAGCTTGTTATTTTTCTTCCCTGAGAATACTCGTGTGAATTTTACTTTTATTAAACTTCATTTTCTTGTGTATTTTCTGAAAACTATTTTAAATTATAAAAGTTCATTTCAAATCTAATGCTATGATTCATGGTATTGCCTCATCTGATTTTTCTCTAATTATCACCCTTCTTTTTTATTTTCACGTTTATTGATGATATCTTTTAACTGTCCACATATGCGTTCATTAAATCTTCTGGTTGGCTGTTATATTATTGGAAAAGTGGTAGGTGCTATAGGAAATAATAAGATTAATAAAATTAAAACTAAATATATTATAGGTCAGGAAGAAAGAGCTAGATGATTGATAATTATACATATATATATACAGATATAAATACCTATATATATATAACCAGATGATGCAAAGGTATTTGCAATAGATTTATGACAAATGCTTCACAGAAAGTATAACCCTAAATCTTAGTCTGGCTCAGTGAAGGAGGAAAGGCACAGTAAAGGAATAAATTCTGGGGTTAGCACTTGACACATGGACAAAATTTCAATAAGTGGAGATGAAGAAAAGACTTGCAATGTTGAGGAAAGAGCCTGAGCTAAGGACTAAGGATTGAGAATTAAAGAACAGTGAAGTATTTGGCTTGAGTTTGGAGAAAAGGAAAGGTCGAAGGCAGATAGAGGATCAAGAATATTGGTTAAGGATTTTAGAAATTATCTGTTGAGATATGCAAAGCCGTCATGTTTTGAGAGCAACATGTAACATAGGACTGCACGTTCAGTAGTTATTTTCAGGAAAGATGGGAAGGAACAGTCTCTGCCTCTGAATTCTACTTCTCACTGATGTCTCCCACAGGCAGACTCACTCCCATCCACACATCCAAACCATTCCTGGATGATGTGGGAAGTTTACAACAGCTCAGAGACTTCCTGTCTCACCCCACCAACTGGAATTCACAACCAAGGCTCCAAGATATGGCATATGGAAGCCCAGGCAAAAGTGCCAGACTCCCGTGTTCATGCTATGTCATATTGCTTCTCTTTCTTGATTGCCAGTTAACTCATTCTCTAGGATTGGTCTTCTACATTATGCTAGATTATTTTAGCTCTGACTTTTTATTTTTACTAATATAACTGTCTCTCTCTAGGACGTTTCCCATGTCTTGAACATCAGCCTATACTCCTGTGCAATGGTGTCAAGGCTCACATCACTTTTCAGACTCTGCCTTGCCCTTCTGGGTCCCTAGAGAGTCAGCTTCTAGAATTTCTTTCTTCCCCAGCTCCAATTCAGCCTGCCCTTTAGTCTTGTGTCCCATTCCATTTACCTTCTCTTCCCTTTCTTGTCCAAGCTGCTTCCAGCAAACCACACAGTGATATGCAGTAGAAAGATTATTAGGTAGAACTCATAAACTAATGCAATTTTAGGGAGTGTTTCTGGTCTAGGCTGTTAGAAATAGACATTAAATGAAAGATAGGTGAGAATGAGATTGTCAAAGTAAGAGATAAAGAAAATATTAAATATAATACTGAGCATAAATTTACCTTTGGGCCCAGCAATCTCACTTCTAGCAATTTACCCTGAAGATACACCTCCAAAAACATGAAAATACATATACCCAGTTCATTTGTACATTAATATTTGTAATTTCAAAATACTGGAAATTGCTTGAATGCCCAAGCATAGGAGATCAATTAAATAAATTATGTTGTTTGCATAGAATTGAGCCCTATGCATTTGAAAAAAGAATGAGAAGTTTTCTTTAAATTATATAGAATGAATTTCAGGAAATAATGCTGAGTAGAAAAGGCAGAGCACATAGGATAAAATGAAAAACTGAAAATAATAACACATACATATATCTATTTATCTTTACCAAAAATAAAAACATACACCGATAAAACAGAAACCAGTAAAAACTAGTAAAATTGGTTACCTATAATAAGTATGAGGAGAAGCAGGATGTATTATTAAAAAGAAAAAAATAACCAGGATTTAATTTAAAAACAAAATCAATCAATAAATAAATCCAAAAATAAACAACACAGAAACAAAACAGAACTCAAATCTTATTATTGAAAGAAATTTGTAAAGCATGACATTTTCAAAACAAAAGAGGCTCTGTGTGTGTGTGTGTGTCTGTGTGTGTTTGGAGGGGTGGATGTTATGAACTGGAAGTAGAGAAATCCTACTGAAGTGCAGGGGAGAAGTAAGGAGAATATCAAGAAACGGAAAGTGATCTGACAGTTAAGACCACTTGCCACGGTTCCTGATTAGCCATTCACGCCTTCGTTGTGTATGGCCCTGATTCCCACTAGCAAATCAACCTTACCCTTAATCTAGACAGAGCAACAGGTCACAATTGAAGACTGTGGAAAGGTTTTAACTCTGCGAATTGCAGGACTCTAAAACAAAATGAGCTTCAGGACGAAATCCTCACCTTTAGCAAGAAGATCCATGTCTCACACCCCCAGATCTACATACGATTATAGGGAGAGTTTTAAAAGCTCACTATAACCCAGACCACAGCCCAAGACAATTAGTTTAGGACAGGAGCATTCTTAAATTCGACCAGGCCTGAGAAAAGCTGACTTTGAGGCTCCATATGCCCAAATGTTAGGAGTATTTAATTATAGTAACACTGAAAAAAAAAAAAAAAAAAAAACAACAACAAAACATTGAAACTGAAATTGTAGTTTTTGGTTTTTTTTAGAATATGGTTTAGACAATTAATTTTAATAGTTTCTCTGTAAATTTCTAAGAAATGTTTTTAAATGATTTCTGTGAGATATAAAAATATTTTGGTCAAACAAAAAGTCTTGCTGTCACTATTTTCTTCAATGAGTTTCATATCCAGTGCATCTGAAACTTCTATCAAGTTAAAAAGATTTGGTTCCATTTGATGCTAAAGTATAAATTCAAAGCACCCTTGATCTGTAACAGAAAATAATTAAGTCAGTTTATATAAATCCTCTTTAAAAGATTTAATTCAGCACTCAAATCATGGCTCACAATTTACATAAAATGTTATCGAAGTGTTGTTTCCAGTGAATATCCTATTTGAAGGAAGCATTTGGAACAGCTGGAGAATATCAAACTTGCCAGTCTCAGCAAGATGACATTTTTTTTCTATTGATTTATCTGAATTTCATCTCTTAAAAAAAATATACTCAAAAGCAGTCTCCTTCAGAGGTTCAATATTTCTCAACACTTATATAGTTCCATTAAAAACCAAAATTTGATTTTTTCGCTTAATAATTTTCATAGGGTGGAATTCTTACCTGCATTAGAACAGATAATATCTTGAGAATTCTTGCACATTTGGTTACTTTTTTTCTTTGTCAGGTCACAGTTAGTTGGATACTGGCAAGCGTCCCCAGACCATCCTTTGTCACATTTGCACTTTCCACAGTCACACTTACCATGGCCTGAAGATTTAACAAGATCCAGTTAGACTCAAATTGTTTTCCAAAGGAAACCATTATTGTACCTAAAAGTTTTAAGGGTAATGTTAGTTCAAGACCTCAGCTATAATAAATTTAAACACATATATATATTATAGTGACTGTGAGATAACACTATTATATACCGTATAATGAAGTATGTAAATTTTATTTCAATAATAAACTTTGGTAAATTATGCTAAAAATGTTAAATTAATGTATAGAGACATTATGATAGATAATCAACCAGAAGTCCAATAAACCACACCAGAAAATTTAGCATAGGAAAAACAAAACAAAACAAAACACCACTTAGCACTCCCACATTTCAGAGACAAAAGCCCAGTAAAAATTATTTCCATTTAAGTACATTTTATAACACATAAAATCACAAAACTCTGAGTAAGAAACCTTACACGAAACCACTAAACTAAACTTTGGCCTTATGTTTATTTGAATTTAACATGTAATAAAATTTTATGGATATATTAAATACTACCTTGGGTCAGATCGACATAAAAAATACATATCTTATTTCTCAATGAAGAAATCTGGTTCAAGAATCAAAAGGATAAGCCCTATATTCATTTACTTCCACAGCAATTTCTCAATCTTTCATGCTCATAAATCAACATTTTGCTGTTATTATTATTGTGATCATTAACTTTATTAACTCCTGCTTGATGAAGCCCACTAATGTTTTTATTTACTACATATTAGTTTGATTGAAGTGCAAAACATGTACAATCCTTGGCCTTTGTCCTCAAAGAATTTATGACTTCAAATTGAGGCTGATATACAAAGAGGATTGTTTGTCAGATCTTGTATTAAGTAGAGTGATATAGTCTATGACCCATAGAAATAAGAAGGAAAAGACTTTCTGGACTTCCTTGACCTTTAATTGCCCTTGAAAGATGAGGAAAATTTGAATGAAGAATATTCTTCATGTTACTCAAGATAATAATACTATGCCTTAATGCCTGAAATTCATAGGCCACAGAGGAATGGAATCGTTGATGTGTTGCCAGCAGTCATTCAATGTGGCAGCCAAAATCCACATGATGAGGTCCAGATGGTCTGTCAGAATGAATGGCTCAGAGGTGTCCCATTTGAGCATGTTCAGCAGAGCCTGTATCTCTGATTGGCTTTGACTTTAAAACTCCTCTGCATGTGCCCCAGTCCATGTAAATGATTCCATTCCATTGCATTTTTAAATTAATTATTCCATTTCACAAGAAAAACCTTGCATGTGCCCTAATTGCAATTCACTTCATCCAGTGCACATTACTCCATCAAATTGATTGTATCGTTTTGCATTCCTGTCTGGCCCTACATGATAATGTTAATCTCAGCCAACTCGGTATCATTTACAAGCATAAGTGATCTCTCCTGACAACCGTCCAGTCTATTTATAAACATATTATGCCAAATTCTTGAAGTGGCTAAACCTCTTTGGTAAATGAAGTGTCTTGGTAACTGTAATGACTCTTTAATAATAATAGTGCATTAGGTTAACCACATGAAATTGTCACTTATATAAGTTGAATATCAGCTATTTTTTATGATTCAACCCCATTTAAAGGCTTCATAACAGCAGCAAAGATAACAGAAATTATTTAGAAGATAAAGGAATATGATGATAATGACTTGCTGAATCTGGAATAAAAGAATACTCAATGCTTGTTTTATATTGGATCTTGCTGAATCTGGAATAAAAGAATACTCAATGCTTGTTTTATATTGGATGAGACATCTTAGACTATAACTTAAGGTGTACATAACAGAGATGGGTAATGGTGTATGGGTGAAAGGTTATAGATTTTTAAAAGAGAAGAAGATTTTTAAAATAGGGTAAAATAAGGAAAATGTACAAATGATAGGGATTAATCCATCCCAAATTGACCCAATGAAACATCAGTAGAAGCAATACTCTAAGGTACTTATACCCCAATTTTAGTCCATGGAAACCCAGGTTCAGAAACTCCTACCATAAAAGATGCTATGGTATAATAAACTATATTCTTTTTTTAATGTGTCATGGTATCTATTAGCACACTGTAGCCCCTTAGGTGTTCTGTCATAAAAAATCTATTTAACTTTATTGGGCTCAGAATAAACAGTTTTTGTTTGTTTGTTTGTTTACTAGGAGTCCCTCTTCCTCACAACATATATTAACATCCTAGCACATGCTTAGACTGATACTGTGTCAAGTAATGTGTCTTCAGCTTTTCCTTTAGCATCTGATCAGAGGCAAAGATAATAGCCAATGCAGAACAGAATCATCTGCCTTTACATTGTTTCTAAGCTTTATAGCCAGTACAGGCCTCCTTGATTTACTTTCCCTCATAGAAGAAAGCAAATTGACTTTTATTTTACTGTCAAGAATTATCAAGTAATAGCTTCTACAACCTTATTTAGGAATACATAATTTTTTTAGGAAGAAAACTATCTTCAGACTATTTTTACTCTTTATCCAGAGATAGTAAGAGCTTTAGCACACCTCAGGGAACTAGTCTGCTATATTATTGAGGCGAAGTAATCTCCATTACAGTGTCAATAACATGGCTTTGAAAAGCATCCCATTTTTCAAAGTAATTTATTCATTTGTATATTAGTTTCCTGGGGCTGCCGTTCAAAGACCACAAACTGAATGGCTTAAAACAACAAAAATTTACTCTCTCACAGTTCTGGATCCTAAAAACACAAAATCAAGGTGTCAGCAGATTGGTTCCTTCCAGAAGATCTTAAGAAGAAACTTTTCCATGTCACTCTCCTAGCTACTGGTCTTTTCCTACAATTTTGGTGTCTCTTGGCTTGTAACACCTTAACTCGAATATCTGTTTCTGTTTTCACATGTCTTTTTTCTCTATGTGTCTAGATCTTCACATTTCTCTACTTATAAGTGCACCAGTCATTGAATTTAGAGCCCATCCTACTCCAGTATGACCTCATCTTAATTATATCGTCTCATTTCAAAAATTAACAAACATTTCTATATTCAGTTAGCTTTACTGTAAATTTTCTATTTGCAATGACTTTTCTGTTAACTCCGTAACTCCCTAGGGAACCTCTGCTCTAAGTTGTTATAAAGTGGGTAGTTAATAAAAGTTGTTGACAGTTTAGTTGACTTGATTGGGGAAAAAATGAAATCATTCTCTTGCAAGCAGGCAAAAGGACTTTAAGTCATGACATTTTCTATAATACAAAGCTCAGTCACCTGAAAAATATGTAGTTGGCATATAGACTAAATTGAGCTCATGACTATTCATTTAAAAAATTTTTTAGTAACTCATGAAGTATTTCATAAAATTTAAGAAGCAATTCATGGAAAAAAAATTTTAAAGTAAGTTGTCACTTTCTATTCCCTGTTAAAAAATGAAAAATCTAGATCAGTGGACAGAAAATTTTAATTGGGAATAAAGCTGTTTGGCAAGCAATGCTTTAAAGATATAATACTCTGCTACTCTGTTTTGATAATCCTACTTTATTTCTGAAAGAGTTAAGAACTAGACACAACTTATTCAATAAGTAGAGCTCTTATAGAAATCATGTATATTATAGAGAAGAGGCAAACCATACTGAGGAGTGCATTTAGGTGATCAAAGGAAAGGAAAGTTTGCCACAATAGCCAGTGCACTCAGTTGTCTTGAAACCATTTAAAGCGGGCACAATAACAGTAGTGGTCATTGCTTCAAACAGAAGGAACATCTTCATGCAAAGATATGATTAGTTCAAAGCTCACCAACCCTTGTCTAGGATGTCCTCTTTGACTCATGAGTTGTCATTCCCATTCTGAAAGTCTAAGTTATTATAATTGATGATAGATAAGCTTCACCTATCAAGAAATTTGAAAAGTATAAAATTTTTAATCATCCTAGATAATGTATCTTGTCTTCCTTCCTACATTGGCATGCAGATATTTCCTTTGGAAAATAGCTTTACCAACCTATACTACCTATAATGCATAAAATAACATATATTAAACTCCTGAGTTACAAGTCACTTTAATTTATATTATCTTATTTGATTATCAAAATAACATAGAAAATAAAAAAAGAAATATTACCTTCCTGATTATAGAAGAGGAAATTTTTGATTAATGTCTTTAAATGATTCCTCCAAATTTTTAACCAATCTCTCAAGTCACCCACCCAGCTTGGGTACCCTCAAACTCAGCAGTAAGCATGAAATCCCTAAGTTTTTGTCCTTCTTCTTACCTTACCCTCATCCACTTTCCCTCCTTTTGCCAGCTCCAGAGGCCACATCAAAGTCCATTCCTTCCAAGGAGCCTAGATTTCTTTGCTGTCTGGTACTTATGGGGCCTTACTACTCTCTCCTCTGTTTCAACGTAAGCTCCATTATTAGAACCTTCTCTATACACCATAAAATTGAACAAGTGTCTCCTGTTCTTTACAAAATATAATCAATATTTCTTCTATTAAACATAGGTTCCTATTTTTAGTCTCCATCCTAAGTCAATTCTTTTCTTATTTAAATTTCCAAGAAGGGAGTTTCACTCCGTCTCACCTTTTCTCTATAATCAGATTTCAACCTCACCATTCTACAGACATTTAAGTCCTAATCTTATTGATTGTTTCTCTATCCTTTGACATCTTTTTCCTCTTTCTCCCATCCTCCTCCTTATTGTACTCTGCCTCCTTGACCACTTCCACCACACCTAAAAATATAGCATCAATAAAATCCATGTTCCCCAATGCATCTTAGAAAACATAAGGCAAATAATAGAGAAAAAAAGACTGGAGCATTTATTCTGAAGTGAGTTAATTAAACCTCAAACAATCTTTACACTACTGAATCATACTAGGTTGTAAGCAGGTTTGAACTGAGTTATGTTTTATTATATATTTCATCTAATTTCTATGTTTAATTATATATTTCATCTAATTTTCCCCCACCCCCAGCATTCAACGAGCAGTTGGAAAATAGAAAGAAAGCTCATAAGGATCATAAAAAGGGAATTAAAA